GACAAGGACACGGGACACGGCTGTGACACACACCCCCGCTGCATGGGGTGCCCGCGACAGGCCTGGTGTGCGGGGCAGCAGGTGCTGCGGCATGGCCTCAGCCTCCCACACCCAGACTGTGCCAGGGGCACCGTGCAACACATGTCCTCTGTGTGGTCACCTATGTCCTGCTTTCCATTCGAGCCCTTCTTCTTCAAGGGCTCCCAGGCTTGGTTAGGTTAGTGCAGAATTAGGTTATTGCACTTAAGGAGGAGCCTGATGCCAGCACAGCTGCCGGCATCCTCCCCGGCACAACTGCTCTTCCCCAACTCTCCTGGGGGTGCAAAGGCAGCACGCGTGTGCCCGAAGGCAGCCGCAACGAGAGCCTGTACCTTGGGGCTCACGCTCCTTTCGGGGTGAGCCACACGGTTGCTCATCTGCCAAAGCCGAGGGGTGGGGATGGTCCTGCTTCCGGCTGCCTGGGGAGCCTCGCGCCATGCCGGCGCGTCCCTTCCTCGTTGCTTGCTCACAGGGCTAGGGAGGTAGCGCAGGCCGGCAAACCCGCTCGTCCACAGGCAGGGCATGGGGTTTTCCAGGCACCATCCTGCCCGCGTGGCCTTTTTTCTCCTTAAGCATAATGTGAAGGAAGAGGGTTTTTCCTTGGCCCAGACGCAGGCAGAGTGGGATTGTCGCTGCAGAACGCCCTGGCAGGAAGCATGTGCATGGAAAGCCACGGGTGAAGCGGAGGTCATAAAACATCCCCTTCTAAGATGAATTTGAGAATAACTGGCTCAGGACTGTGTCTCTCCTATGCTACAAGGGTTGAGGACCACTGCAGAGTTTCCAGCTCTGCACAAGTGCCCACACTCCAGCTGAGTGGTGGCTATAGCTCACTACAGCAAAGCTTGTTGGCTCACAAAGTGTCTTCCCCGGACTGCCAGCCAGTAGGAATCTTCCTCCCAAGTCAACCAACTCATGGGCTTGATTAGGTTCACGCTGAGGTTATCAAGGGGTTGGGCAAGAGCAACTGGCCGGGATCTTCAAAGGCCATTAAGCACCCACTGAAGTCTTTTAAGCCTTGCAGAACTTGTTCCTTGGGCCCAAAATGGGTCGTTTTCACAGAGGTCAAGAGCCACCCTGGTATGTTCTGCATTAGGATAGGGAGGAGAGGAAAGACCAGTTTGACTTCTGTGCGTTCAACCACCAAAATGTCTGAGAGGACTCTACAGAACAGGATTTCCACAGATGTGGAAAGGGCTTTATTGTCAATCTTTAAAAGCCTGAACCTGACTGCAGAACACCAATGGCTCAAAACCACCAAAATAAGAAAACTCGGGACCTTCTCACTTCCCTGGAACTTTGAAGGTCCTGGAACAGGGCACTCCTACTCCCCATCGCTTCTCGGCTCTGCAAATGGACTTTCTTCATCGGAAATTAAAGAATACGTTCCTACCTAATTGTGTGATTCCAGGAACTGACTCCAAGAAAAACATGCAACTAATGCAAGAGTCATGATACAGTCACGAGAGCCATCAACACTGTCACCTAGCCCTGGCATGTTGCGGGCTCTTCAGGGAAGATCATGATTGACTCCTCTAAGGTGGCGTTGAAAACCTTTTGTGCAAGGGATTGATGAAATCAGTAAAGTTCTCCTCAGCCTGTTTTCCGCATAGTCTTTCAAGTGCTTAAAATCTGGTACTTCCCTAGATAAAGAACCCTCCTTTCCCTGATTAGCATCTCCAAACAATCTCAGACTTTGAGTGGTAATTATACCCTGGACCACCTCCCAGCCCTTGTTGACAAAGTCAACTGGGACGCTCCAAGTCAAGGTGGCCCCTTTCCCACAGCCCAGCCCTTGTTGACAAAGTCAACTGGCCCCTTTCCCACAAGGAATCAAGTCACACCTTCCCTGACACAGTTCTTGGACAACACCTTTGGCGGGAGCCTTGTGATGAGCCTTTGCTGCGATGCCACGTGCAGGAAGGACACGCAAGTTGGCTTTGAGCCCTGGCTGCTTCCCGCAGCCTGCACAGGCTCTGCTGGGACGGCACCCGTGACTAGTAGCAGGGAACCCTCTTGTAGCCATGGCTGGTAGCCGATGATTGCCGACTGTGCGAGCTGGGCCTGCTTACGTCCGGCTGAGATGTGCTTTTCAAGCCCAAGAACCTGTAATAATAAATGTAAAAGCAAATCCGGGGTGCATTCTTGGGATGTGATGAATGCATTCACGGACTCGGAATCTGCAGAAATACCGTGGCAATTCCAGCCCTTCTCTGTCTGCTGATTCATGCCTGCTTGAAAGGACAGCATCAGCTCTTCAGTTGTCATTTTTGGAAGGAGGAGGGGGGAGTGGTAAGGACAGATGCCGTGTTTGGTACGTCAGGGTTGGGAACGTTTCACCCATGCATTTAAGATCTACTAGAAGTCCCTCCTCATAAATCATCGCCACTACCCAGGATGCACAGAGCAGATGTTTTCCACTCCAGCTCACCTGCCCAGCTTCCAGGAGCAGATTGGAGAAGGCCACACCACCCAAATTTGCCACATCATCATCTGGCAACTGGCTTAATTGCAGCACTTGGAACTGAGAACGCCACCTGGGTGACAATGGAGCAAGCACCTCTTTCTGGGGCAGGAGGCCTGCAGCAGAAGCAAGTGCCCATGGATGAAGGACTGGAGCCCAAGTTTGAGGTTCACCAAGCCATCTCCATCACCTCCATCGAGTGAGATGTCCAGTCAAGCTGCAGTGGGATGGGGCCACTGAGTCCAGGTTCCTCCTGCAGCTCTTCCTGCAGTCTCCCTTAGTTGGCTGGAATAAAACAACATAAAATCTATTTAGAAAGACTTTTAACTGCAGAGGCTGCTGCTGTCCCCCCATCCCCGAACATTTCACTGCTGCGCCCGCGTGCCACCGTACACTACTCTAACCACAGCGTGGCAGGTGAAGGTGCAAGAAAAGGCTTGGACCGCCTACAGGACGCTGCTGAATTAATCCCCCAGCACCGCTGGTTAATTCCACTCGCAGCAAATTCCAGACAAAATCCTATTTGGAGTCAGCCTCAGGTCACCAGGCCGGCGGAAGCCCCGTAAGGAGGGGGCACAGCAAGAGGTTCAGCATGGTCGGACTGCAGGGCTGGAAAATATTCGGAGCAGGAACCAACCAGACCTGTTCCTGGCCAGCCTTGCGAAGGGCGCTTGCCAGGCAAAACGTCTCCCGTGCACGTTCCCAGGAGAGCCGCGTGCTTTCCAAATCAGGGCATCTCGCTGCATTTCTGCCTGCAGCGGCCCCTGTGCTGGGCCGGGTGCCAGCAGCGCAGGCCCCGCAGCCCTCTCTGCTCTCCTTCCTGTGCTCTGCAGGGAGCTGCCAGCGCTCAGCAGCCTCCCGCTGGCTCCTCTGCTTCCACGGAGCGCGCTAATGAGGACCTCGGCACTGCGGGGGCCCTCGTGCTACGCGGGACACACGCAGGTTTGGAGCAGGGGCAGCTTTTGAAGCGCAGCCCCCCGCTGAGCTAGCAGGGGTTCAAGCTGGGCAATGCCCGCGGCCGGCACCGCCTCCCGGAGCAGGACAGATGGCAGCCCCAGGACACTCCCGGCTTGGGCAACGGGGCCCAACCCGGAAGTTTCGCTGGGAGCAAGTCCACAGGCTTTCAAAACCTCTGCAGCGCAGCTGCGCTCTGCCAGTTGATCTGGGAAGGGTTGCACCAATGCCGTGGTAGAAAGTCAGTGCCAGAAGTGAAGCAACATGGGTTTGCAAATGAGGAAAGGAGCCTTCATCAAGCTGATTACTGGCAGCTTGGGTAAGGATGGGAGGAACAAGGCAGCAGTTTGCTGTGTCACTTGCTGGCGAGCTGTGGCAGCGTTCCCACCGCTCGAGCACTTTCTCTAAGGGAAGCCAGTCCTTTAGCTGAGGCAGCACAGATCGATATTCCCGACATGAAACGTATCCTGAGGTGCTTCCAGTGAGGGGTGCTGACAGCTGTGAGTAGATTGCTACCCTCCAACATAGGATTCGAAAATAGCTGTAGGGTGAGGAAAGCAGCACCATGGATGCTCCTCTGCTTTTGCTTACCGAGAGCACACGGGTGCCAGGGCCACTTTGCTTTGGCCCTTCGGACAGCAAGCGCCGCGCTGCCCTGCTGGATTCACTCACGCCCCAGAGCTCCAGGGGCTGCGAGATGCTGCCTTGCTGCACGGCCGAGGACGGTGTCCCCGCTCGCGGCGCTGGGGACGCTTCCTGCTGCCAAGGCACCTGCGTTAATCATAGAATCATAGAATCATAGAATGCTTAGGGTTGGAAGGGACCTCTAGAGATCATCTAGTCCAACCCCCCTGCACACGCAGGGACACCTAGAGCACGTGGCACAGGACTGCATCCAAGCGGGTTTTGAAGATCTCCAGAGAAGGAGACTCTACAACCTCTCTGGGCAGCCTGTTCCAGTGCTCTGTCACCCTCACTGTTAAGAAATTTTTCCTTAAGTTCCTATGGAATTTTTGATGTTTCAGTTTCCGGCCATTTCCTCTAGTCCTATCAGTGGCCACCACTGAAAAGAGACCATCCCCGTCCTCTGCACTCCCTCCCTTGAGGTATTTATATACACTGATTAGATCCCCTCTCAGCCTTCTCTTCTCCAGGCTGAACAGGCCCAGCTCCCTCAGCCTCTCCTCATAGGGCAGAGGAAAAGGAAGCACAAGTAGCAGCCCAGCACAGAGTTGACGCCGTCATCTCACACTTGCATCTGTTGCGGAGAGGGCTCGAGAAGCACATGTGGTGCCCCTGCTCCCTGCTCTTACCTGTAGCAACAGCCGTCCACATGCTGCCACGTCCGTCCTTTAGCAGCACGACGTCCCCTTACGGAGCTGCGGTGCCTTCCACGCGTTACCAGGGATTTCTTGCAGTTCTGGACACTCTCCAAGCAGCGGCCAGAGGAGAAGGGAAACAAAAAAGTTTAGGAAAGTTCCACCAACAAATCACGGTTTCTAGAGAAGAACATTTGCCCCCAAGTTAACAGATGATCAGAGCTATTAACAGCAGCTTGGCAGAACAGCAAACATCTAGGAGCTTAATTGAGAGACCCGAAACCCGGCTTAGGCTCTCATGAATTTAATTCCTAGCCAATTGTTTAACCTAAGAGCTGTATCTTTTCAAAATGCTTTAAACCATGATTTTTTAAAACCTCTTTAAAATAAACATATGCCAAGAATAATTTGTTTTCCCCCAGAAAGATCATGTAGTGCATTTCTGCAATGATTAAGCTGTGCTATTTTTCTGGTTTTGCTTTTATTAATAGTCAGTTTAACAATGAGGAAATTCTAATAATGTATCATTATAATCAAGGCAACTCTAATGGAATTTCATAGGCTGTGGTTGGCATCCCAAGTGCAGCATCAGACAGAAAGGGGACAGATCTCCAGGACACTTTCAGAATCAGCAAGCATTTGGGTAATTATAAAACTCCATTTTATAAAGAACAGAAAACAAGATTAATTTATAAATCAGTTTATTTACAGATTTTATTCTCTTAAAGTACATTTCAGTTACCAAAGATATTTACACTGGTGTACACAGGGACCGCCCTGGTTATTTTACAGTTCTTAATTACAAAAACCCTTCCTCATCCTTGGGTCTGTCTACTGTGCAAAGCTGCTCTGCATGTGAACATTAGCTGAAACTGGCCCAAAAACCAAGTTACCAGGTTATTTACACATACACAGTAAACAGGTTTCTTTTTAATACCTCCACAATACAGTACACAGGGAGATGGAGCCTCCCAAAAGGCGGCTTTGCAAACGTGTATCAAAAGGCTCTGCAAAGTCAGGGAAAACAAAACAAAACTATTAAATGCAGGTTAATTACAGTATTCCTCTTTCATCTGTATATATTTTTGCATTTAATGTTTAAATTACAAATAAGTTCGATAGTTTGCTTTTCTCCATTTTAGTTGATTTGTAAACACTTCAGATGCACTAAATACCTTGTAAGATTCAACAGTTCTCTCTGCTCAAGAGTATTTTGTTTTCCTAATATTTTTAAGGTAGCAAAGGGATATGAAAGTCAGAACTGTATTCAGTTCCTTGCAGAATAGTTACTTCGAAGGTCTCTATCACTGTGCTACTGAAGATCTTCTGCAGGTACACACTTATTCAAGTATTGCGAAAAGCTAAGGCCACTTTTTCAAGAAAAGAAAGTGAACGAGATAGGATTTTGCAATCCACCATTAGACCTTGCAAGGAACAAGCCTTTGCTGAAAGGCAGAAGTATGACCATTCCCCAGCTTAGCTCGAGACGCATCCTGCTGGGACAGCGGTATCGTGCCCTCCATCAAGCTAAGGAAACCAGGACCAGCGATGCAATTTTGTTCTTACATGGCAAGGCAGGGGGGAAATACAGAATTCAGCCTCTGTATGTAGTTCTCCAGAGCTCCCCGTAACTCTCTGTCAGCACCTTTGGCCTAGGCAGACTATCACTCCATCTCAGTTATCGCCAGTCCCAGCACCCCAAGTAACGCACTGAGGTGTTGAGATGGTAACTCACAGATGTTAACGTCTTTTTAGGGTTGTGCTGATCAGAAACTGCTACCAAAAGTAAATGGTAACGTATGCAAAGGAATAAAGCCATTCTTTATGCACAATTTCCTTCCGCCCAAAGAGCAGTAAAGAGAGCTACTGTTTCTGCTGATGGTACTAAACTACTGCTGCAAATCAGCAAGACAACAGGCCAACGATCTCCAAGGGTCCCTGGGACCTCAGCAGGCCAACCAGACAACCTTGTCCTGCTGCTGCCCGTACCAAAACGCGTGCCAGCCCTGCAGAGCAGCCGAGAGGCCGCAGGGACGCAGGGCACGTTTCCTTGTCAGCACTGGCCACGCTATCCAGGGAACGGAAATAAGCTCTGCGTTTCTGTGATACTTCAGCCATAAATCTCCATGGCGGATTTCTGCCTTCTCTTCCGTAATTGCTACCTATAAAAAAAAAAATACATGCCCGGGAAATCTGAGGCAGTGACCCATTTAGTGACAGCAAGCCAGCCAAATACAGGAGCTTTAGTTTAGCTTCTATCCTAAGAATTAAGACAATTTCACAGTTCGGCATCATGACACTTCACAAGGACAAAGCGAATCACTTGACGAAAAAAGAAAGAATGATGCTGCACCGAGACGCAAGCAGACCCCATCAGAGGCCTCCCCCTCGCCACGCTCCCATTAGCTCACAATGGAGGCGCTGGCAATACTACACCTGAGAGCCTGCAAATCCAGCGTTTCCCAGTGCTGTCCCTGAAGAATCGCCAGCCGTGTGCCACTGTGCAAAAGGCAAATATTCCAATGACCGTTTTCCAAAATAAAAGGTGGAAAAGAGAGAACATAATGGAGAAGTAGCAAAGACATGCCTAGCAGGAAGCCCAAAAACAAACAGATGAAAGAAACTATATGGAGTTTCCCACCATGCCTATCATGGGCTATTACAGAATCTTTGGGGTGCTCCCAAGCAGGCTTCAGGGTGCCCCTCTACACTCCAGCTTGTCCAGAGAATCTGACGCCTCCGGGTCTTGTCCAAGTTAGCAGTTGAGACACTCACTATTACGGCAGCAGCATTTGACGCCAGATTGTCTGTGTTCATCCAAGAAAGCACAAGGATGGGAGGGACAGATCAGGGAAGAGCACTCTGCAGGAGGACACTGCAGTTGAAGGCAGCACCGAACGGACCTGCCTACAGCCCAGGAGTTCTGGGAAAACAGGGGATTAGAAGGAACAGGGAAGTTCCAGGTCTTTTCTTGCACTTGGTTCCCTCAATTCTCCCAGCTGAGAAGAGGCTTCATTCCTAAGTTCTGCTTTTTGCTTCCTACCCTCGAGGAGCTGGAGTTCTTGTGCGAAGAATACGGGCTCTGCAAGTCACCAGAACTGAAGCGTTCTCAAGGTCTGCTGTCTCTGCACAGGATACTCTCCTATGCCCCACTTAATAAATTATCTGAAAATAAATTAAAGAAAGGGAAAAAAAAAAAGTCCACAAGCACAAAACATGCACAAGTCAAGCACTGGACACCACTTTCTTTGGTGAATACACTTGTTTTCCCCCAAAATTATGCAAGGAACAGCTTCTCCATTTAATAGGTGACAGTAAGGAAGGAAGCTGAGGGAGAGAGGGCCAGTTTTGTTTTTGAAAAAACATTTTCCACTCCTGCATGTCTCATGCCTGAGAGAATCCTGAGTATCCATTATCTAGGAGCAGCTGGCACTCTAGGAGGTGAAGAAGTGCTACAGGATAGCAGTTAAGTTGTCCGTGGGCTCATCTTTCACCCTTAACATTAAGTGGCTTTTATCTTGCTCCACCTCTGAAGCAAGTTATGCAGGTAAAAAAGGAAAAAAACAGCAAGAATTCTTTACTTGAAGGCAGAAAGCAACATCACCTACTTTTCCTGGATTAGCTGGCGCCATTATTTGGTACGATGACACAAGAAGAAAGACGAAAACCAGCTTTGGAGAGAACAAAATTAAACAGGCTCTGTAGCAGAAGACACTGATGCACATTGCTAGGGCTGCAGGAGGAGAGATGTTAAAGATTGTAACACTGTTCAGTATGGTAAGGAGCCATTTATGACTAAAACCTTACCAAACCATTTCTTCTCCAAATGACTCACATTTCTAAAGACAACTCCAGCACTGATGGCCCATGGCCATTCCAGCCAAATAGCCAATATCCCAACCTAACCCAGCCCTTTCAGGGCACAAATTGAATGTCAAAGCCCTGGGCAGGGGCCTCAGACAACTGCTGAAGGCTCTGCAGCTCACCGCATTGGCACGAGAACAGTCTGAGCTCTCCACAGCGCCGCCTCGAGCGAGGCATCAGCTTGTTTCAAAACATAAACCCAGTGCAAGGTCTCTAGCAGCGGAGGATGTAAATTCAGATTCCTTTAATCACATCTCAACTGCCTTTAAAACCCACGCAGGGAAGTCCAGTTGCAGTGCTTGCGAGGTGGAGAGAATGTCAGGAGTCAGAAAGGCCCGTGATTCAGGTTACTCAGCTTCTAGCTTTATTTTCAGCGTTGTCACACAAGTAGTAATCTCCTCTGCTTCTCATTTATCTGGTTCAGTACATCAACGGTGTCTCTGATTAAGGCCTCGAAGATCCCATCTGCCAACTGCATCTTTACACACAGTTCATCCTCGTCGTAATTCACCCACTGTGCTTCTTCCTCGTGAAGTTCCTGCACCTTGAAAGGTAGAAAACACAAAAATAAACATTACAATTCTGTTGCTCTAAGATAGCATCCCCAGGAAAAGTTCTAGGAAGAATCCAAAACAGTCTGGATCTGCTAACAACACAACTGTCTTCATAAAAGACTGCAGAAAATGCTGTTTGATCTATTTGAAGCAGGTTACTGCACCCTATAAACATTTCCTACTTACCACCATATTATTCCTTTTAAAGGAGTTACTATTTCTGCAAAAAAATTTTACTTGTAAGAACTCAAGTACTGGGATATAATGAATCATTCCTGACCATCAGAAAGAACTCCGTTAAAAAAGAACACTCCCCAAAACTTTTAATTGCATTTTTGCAAGAATCTTGCTCTATTGGTGCGTATTTGCAAGAAACAACTTCAACTGGCTGTTGTACAACAGGATTATAACTCATTTGCACAGAATATAGCATGCTTCCCTGGATTTGAGGGCATAATTGCAAATTGAACTTTGTGCTGATTACTGCTGAAACAATAACACTGCAGGTATTTATTTCCTTCTATTCCCAAACTGCTGACAAACAAAATGCCCTGTTTCCCTGGTTGCCAGCAATCAGATGCTTTAGATTCAGATTCCTGTAACAGACCAGAATATAGTGTTTCATTCAGCAAATCAAGACTTATCAGGCTTTTCTTCAAGTTGCATACCCTCCACCAAAACTTAGCACTGTAAATTTGTTTAGCGGCCATTTTGCTATTAGAGATTCATTCCAAAGCTCAAACTTTCTCAAAAAAAAAAAAAAAAAGTCAAAGCAGGCACAAATAGCACTTTTATTTAAAATGCCAGAGAAGACCTGCTGAAAACTCTTGCACTGCTCAGCTACCTCTGACCATAAATCCTACATGCTGAGCTCCAAAGACAGAGCAAAAGCTCTAGCTCCAACATGCTCTTCCTCCCTTTAATCTGAGCCTGAAGTGCTCAGAAACGTGTTTAAGGGTGACAGCCATGGTTGCAGAATGGTGATTCAATAACCCCAACACTGTTGTGAAGGCTCAAGATCATGGAAACCGGCAGTGCTTCTAGGAGTTTTAGCCTTCCGTATGGCCTCAGTTACACAGATGCTCTCCATTTGACAGCTCCTTCCTTTTTCTGTTAAGAGAGTTTGGGGGAAAAGGGCAGGAAACCTTGTTCTCAAGCAACTTGAGAAGCTCTTCAGGAAGAGCTGAAGTATGTGCTTGCACATGCCCCTGCTGTACACGACAGTGTTTTGTGTTAGGTGAGGAAGGCAAATGTTCCTCTTGCTCCCAGCCCTCATTTCTCATGCTGCTGTCAAAGATGAGGCGTAATGGTTTCATTACACTTTTAGAAGAAGCAACAATACTAGCAATGAAAACTGAATGTGCATCTTAGGGAAAAAAAAAAAAAAAAGAAAAAAGGCTTAAAATGTGAATGCTAACAGGCAGCAGATAAATGGGCATGCATGTGGACGTGAATGCCCAAAACTGAAAGTCTGAACTCTTAAGCAAAAGCCTGCTACTTGCTAGCTGCGTCCAGTATAGGCTGGTTGCAAATTCTGATAGTGCCCGGACTAAACAAGAGGGGCATGTCCCAAACTGTCCCACTACTAGAGATGTGAGTCAGAAGCAGCAGCTAGGAGGGCAATCTGCACACAGACTGCTCAGATGGGGAAAACTGCAGGCTGGTTCCTGGGAAAAAGAAACTGTACTGAAAAGGAAGAGACCTGAAAAGCAGAGGCAGTTTTGGAAAGAAGGGAGCCTGAAAAGAAAAAGTGAAAATTCTGGCTTGGGGTAAGATCCTGGAGACCAGGGAGAGGGATGGAGACAAATCCTGGGGGATACCCGAGGACCTTGGCTAGTGATGCCTGAGACTGGTAACTGCAAGGAGCTGCAAAGCATCAACCAACAGGACGTTCTGCCTGAGCTTCTCGAGCCAGCAGCAATCTCCATGCTTAGAAGGCAGGCAGAGACCTAGTGAATGCAAGCAAGAGTGAAAAAATCAAGTAGAGGCAGAAAGGTCTAAAATTTGTGATTCTTAAGTGAACTCCAATATCCACATTCCCTGTGAGCTGGTTCTTTTGTCTCACCTGTGACAACTTGATAAGACAGTTCCTTTACTCTGCTTGGAAAGGAAAAGACAAGATATATGACGAAATACAAGAAAAGGGAGAGGACAAAGTAACTTCATCAAGACAGAAAGGTAGGGTGCTGGACAGCAGTACAGAGAGCAAGGAAGGAAAACATGTATCTATTAGTGATTAATTTTCTCTTGCCTCTATCATTCATCTGCCCTACTCTGAGACACACAGCACAGTTTCCCTTGGCACAAAGAAGGACTTCTTTGACCATACTTCTGGAAAACTAAGAGACTGTGCAATTTTAGCTGCAGGCAAGTCTTGCTAAGAGTGTATATTCAAAGCATGTGTGGAAATCATCATAGAATCATGCTGCTTTTGCAGTCCCAGCTGCAGACATCTGAGCTGAGGCCGTTTGCAAATACTTTGACTGGGCAACATATGATCCATTTGATATATTACCATAAAACACAAGCAAGGGAGACACAGTTTGCCTGTATGTGGTGAACATACTATCCTATATGGAAGTGGGCTTTGCATTACCTTCAGCACATTCTCATGACAAAGGCAAAACTTTATGTAGTTGATCATCAGGAAGCCAGTTACATTTAAGGAGCCACGTGGGAGGCTGAAAGTAACTAAAATCCAGAAGAACCTTCTTCTGCCCTGGAAGAAGGCCCACAACAAGGCGGCACTTGGGTCCATTTTTCACAGGACTTAACTCTCAGAATTTCTGGAAAACTTAAGATGCACCACCGTGCATATAAGCAGGCTCTGTTTGTTTTGGATTTAGGTCTTAGGAGCTGCAGAAGGGGGTTCCCATTAAAGCCAGTCTTGCAGGAGACAGCTTTGTGGGGTTCAGACTGCACAGAAACGTTCTAGCCCTTAAATCAACGGGCCAGAAGATGAGGTGCATTTCAGCAGTCTTTCAGAGGGCTTCTCAAACATGAGGCATCGGTCGGGCAGTCTCCGGTGAGCTTTGCTTCCTCCAAAAATAGCGACGGGCAAGGGTGGGAAGCAGCCATGGCACAATTCGGTCTAGTCCCATGCACGCAGGTGTCAGTGCAAGGAGTTTAGGAAAAAAGGTGGGGAAAAAACAAACGCAGAGAAAACGCTCTTGCTAGGTACTTGAACCTAAAGAAGGTGATACGAGGGGGTCCCCTTCTAGTTTAAAGAGAGGTTTTGAAAGGTGAACACAGCAAGGAGGCACCTCAAATGCAGCACCTGAACTAACATGCACATTTGAGATTTTCCCACAAAGCAGAGACAGAATATGCAAGATAAAGGTAACAACACTAAAGAAAGAAGAACACACAGGAAGAAAAAAAGTAAACACCTAAACATTTTAAATTTTATTTTAGGTATTTCATAAATGTGAATATCCCACACACGTGTGCTGAAAGCCAAAATTTGCTGAAAATGTTAAGAATAGCTGGAGCAGCTATCCAACTGATCAGAGAGCTTCGGTTAAAAAATTCCTTTACAAAGGCTTTCTGAGGAGAATGATGTCTGATCCAAGTTAACAGTCGAGTTTTCCAGCGCTACAAAAAAGGAGCAGAAGGTGAGTTTTTTGTCACTATCAGAAAAACCTTACTAACAATGATGTCAGGGTAAGAGGCTGCCAATTTGGAAACAGAGAAAGCTACCCAGCTACCTAGTATTTTAAAAAGACTTTAATAAAAACGTAAAAGAAAAACGTAAAAGAACACCATCTCCCTAGTTTTTTGGTCAGAAAACCTGACTTGCAGTTAACACCCAGCACGAATTTGGTGGCGGTGCCACTGGGACTGCTCTATTCCTAAAGCCAGGCACGTGGCAGGTTTCACAGAGTTATTCCCAGCCTTCGGCTAAATTTTATTACCATACTCTTGTGAGAGCAAAATAAGATTAAACACATCAAACTATTTATTAGAACAAACCAGTCAGAGCTGCATGAATCTTTGATATCTGGGTCCATATGCAAATTGCAGACTGGATTGTCTCAACTTACTTTGTCCCACTGTGCAAATTTTCAAACTCATTTCACCTAAAGCATTTGGGATGATTCCAGCTGGAACAAATTGTTCCAGCTGGGAAACTTTCTTCCCGTGTATGGCTCACAGAAATTAGGAGTAGATGTCTCAAATGAGTACACGAGCATAATGGTTGTACTATGAGTTCTCTCAAGGATCTAAATATAAAACTACTTTTTTTTGTGCATGCTGTAACAGCCTTCACATCTTCAAATCAAACACCCTAGGACATGGAAATCCTCTTTGAAAACATTTTATTTCATACGCTTCAAATCAAACCCCTTGGAAAAAACCTGTGTCAGAAACCTTCCACTGATGAGCTATTAAAAGACCACACAAGCCACGGCTGGAAGTTACTTATGTGTGCACACATGTGGAACCAATTTCAGGTACAATTAAGTGAAGCACAGTGTTAATGACAGCTCATGTTCCCAAGCAGAACCTTCACTATCATTATGCCCAATAAAGGTATTAATCATCCTGTAACACAACCTACCAAGTAACTTTCAAGAAGTAATATACAACCAGACATATCTATCTAATGTAATTTTAACTGAAAGCATTGCTCCCCAGTGGCAGATGCATTGCCTAGCTAGCCTAAGTATTACAGGAGTAGAAGTCCTGTTCTTTGCTTAAGCCCCTCCATTAAGAACTCATGTATATATTGTATTCTGTAGGTAATATGATCAAATATTGAAAATATGATCATATATCATATTTCAATAGGAAGTCAATACCTGATCACTTGATACACAAACAATATTTGACACTATTTCTTATTTTTAACCACTGACCAGTATATGATCGACTCTGTCCCGTTTCTTTCGTCCAAATTTCATCATCTTCTGCCAGTCTGTTTTGTGATTAGGTTCCTTCCTCAAGTTGAACAACTTCAGCACTTCAGCTGCAATAAAGTTCTACAGAACAGAAAAGATGAATTGTTATCCTATTTAAACAAAGAAATGAATTGTATGCACAAAGTACCTGCCTTGAAAAGTCAGGTTATGGAATGTTTCAGTTTAGCCAAGGAACATACAGTGCATGGAAAAGATTTACCCTGGAAGTCTTTGATGTAGCATTATGCAAACAGAACAATTATTAAACACAGAACTGGAGGAAAAAAAAACAAAAAAGGCAACACCCTTTGCTGTAGCAATGCTGAGAACAATTTTCATGGGAGGACATTAAAGAAAAGCAGGTGGGAGTCTGATGTCTTTCCTGTCTTGTACCCCTGCTCTCCTCCTCTCATCCCCCTGATACTTCAGAAGTTTCAGAGGGAGAGAAGGGGAGATGGAGATACTATTTCTGACTTTCTAAGAGCTAAAATATATCTTGAGCAGTTTAATGAAAATTCAGCTCAAAAAAAACCAACTTCAGAAGCAGTGGTACAGCTGGGAGTTTCCATTTATGTCCTGATGAGCTGCATGGAAACACTTTGTTGAATGCTAGGAGAAATAGCTTTTCCCCTAGTGTCCAGTCCTCCAAGCTGAACTTTGCTCCAGGCAGACTCAAGCTTTTTGGTGTTTTGTCTTTTCTTGAACACTACCATTGGCAACAGGAGACCTAAATTTTGGCTTGCCAAATACAGCAGTGCCCTCACCAGCCAGCCTGTGGATCCATGTCAGCAACTCCCACCATCCCACCAGGCTGTGTCTGAGCATAAAATTCAGCTCAGCCCATTTGGCCCAATCCTGCAATTCAGTTCATGCCAATACACCCATAGGGAGCTCCACTGAAATCTGCTAAAGCAGCTGTCTGTCAGAATACCGATTTTGTACACACAACCAAGGGTCTTTCTGCTAGTTCTTCTTAGAGGGCTATGGTTCAAAAGCAACTAGTGTCAGCCAAGAAGAGAGGGAGGCAAATCTGTCGAGTAAAAAGGGTCATTTTTATAAATTTGCTTCTTACTGATTCCTATTTGTCATCTCATTTCTCTTCTCAAATCATATTTTACTGGATACATCTGTTACAATTTCTTAACCTTCACGCAGGTGACAATACATGATTTTTCATCTTACTTCCCCTACAGAAGAAAGACTTCCTACCTTGATTTCGTCCAGATCATTTGGATCCTTTACTCGGCGAAAGTAAGTAGAGGCAATTCTACATGGTTTCATCCAAATCGGCTGATTTAGATTAGGATCCTCAGCAAAGATTTCTCCAAAGATTTCTTTTGTTAAGTCAAATACAGCCTTAAAGAAAGTAGTAAAATTAAAGAATTCTGTTGCTCACAACAAACGAACATTCAAAGGGCAAGTACAGAAAGCCTTAAGATTGTACCTTTTTATACACCTGTTTGTTTACCATCTCCATGTCCTGCTCTTTGGTGGTATCATTAAGATTCATAGGACGGCTGAAGCTTTGAATATCATGACCCAACTCTTTGAGTTTCCAGAGCTCCTCAGCAGCTGCATGTACCATACCTTCTACTTCCACTGCAGTGTAAGGGACTGCCAAAGGCTCCTCGCAAGGCTTTGTTGGTACTTTCTGTGGTTCTACCTTGGCCAGCACTGCTGGTTCTTCAGCTTGTTTCTGCTGGACTTTGTGGGAATTCAAGCCATAGTCCTCAAACCAGTCTTGATCTTCTCCCAGCACGCTCAGGAATTCCCGATTGAGCTCCAGCTCTGCCAGTTTCTTAGCTAGCTCTTCCTGACCACTGGCACCAAACACTGGGCTCTCCTGGGGATTAAGAGTAACAGAGAAAACATAAAATTGGTGCCACACTGCTGTCTATCAGACATTCACCAAAAGTAGATTTTTATTTGTACTACTGATATAATTATATATAATGAACAAATGCTTTACCATAATTCTCTCAATGACAATAGATAACCCACAGTAAAATCAGAAATGCTCAGCACCTTGGAGTAGGAGTTTTCTACCACTCCTGATGAACGTTTTCAGAGGGACAGTCCCTGTAGTCTGTGTTCCTCCTCAGTTGGTCCTAATGTTTAACCACGGCCTGTATAAAAGGCTGGCTAGTTTAAAATTCCTTTTTTTTTTTTTATTACTTCACTTACCAACAATCTCAGTCTAATCATCACCTTAAAAGCTTTTAGCAGGGAATGGCTGTTTCAGTGACTCAGCCAATGCTCATATTGGTGAAACGAGCTGATATTTTCTGTAATAATAACATACTGAGATCAAGGGCAGAGCAATGAGGTTTACTGGGATCTTCAGCAGTGAGGCTAAGTCTGTATCTGTATCATTAATGGCTGCTCTGAGGAAGACTGAACTTCCACTATTCATAATATATTAGTACAGTGGATAGAGCAGTCTGACAACTTAATGATCTCCACTGCAATTAATTATGTTAGAGAATGATTATTTCATATGGAGAGCAGGCAGAGAAGTTTACAGTCCATCATATTCACACATTTTAGAACAAAAAATGGGTGTAAGGATGAAATACAAATTGAACATGCAAGCAGAATGCTCCCTACATTAAATAATTTTCCATTTCTCACGGGCTAAAATGTCTTTCATACAACTCAAGAGCTACCAAAATGAGCTGTGAAATAAGACTCATGCAAGAACACATACGCAGACACACGCAAACACACATTCTTCACACCAAGAAATACAACTTTGGAGAAAAAAAATGGTGCCACACTCCATTCCTCAGATTCAAATTATCATTAATCAAATGAATTACCATCTCTTAAAAATCAGCGCAAGATAACTGCTACTCACTGGTCTGGGACACATGTCTGGGGACGAAAGTTCTTCTCTTTCATCTTCCAAATCAGAACTTAGAAAAAAGTTATTCAGGCCACCAGGAATCAGCTCTCTCTCATGCTGGGCTGGGGTACTGGGTTCCTCCTTCACGTCACAGAGCTCTTGGTTGCTAAGTTGGATTTTCTCATTCCTGGCCTTCTTTATTTGCTGTAGCTGATTGACTGTGTCTTTCACAAAATCTCTGAGGAGACTGTCTGTCAGCAAACTGACCTTTTCAAGCTGCTTTTTTGTCCTTTCTTCCTCTTTAATCGGCTGTCTAAGCTGGGCTTCTAACTGGTTCTTCTCCTTTTTCAGCAAATCCAGAAGTGGAGTTGAAGGCTTCTCCAGAATTTCAGGAGAGAGATCATCTAGCTTTTCAGCACATTCTTCCCCTAATGTCTTCTGCCTCTCCAGTTTTTCAGAAAGAAAATCAGAGATGTCTTCCAAATAATGAGCAGTGGAAGTCTTCTCCATGACACCAGAAATGGGAGGAGCAAGGCTTGCCTCTTCTTTGGCAGCATGCTTGAGGTAATCCACCACAGACTGCTCTTGGGCAAGCGATTTGGTAGCTAAAGATACCTCCTTTATGTTGCTTGCTTCGGAAAAAGAGTCTCCATCTATCCTTTGCCCCACTGAGGCTTCTAAAACAGTTGTGTCTGCAGGACCTTTATCCTGGGAATAGTTTTCTCTTGTATCTCTTTGCATTTCTTCCTCTTTGTCAAGATTAGAGCTTCCTTTGCCTTTCTGCTTGGCTGTGTGTTGCTTGTCCAGCCTATCATCAAAAAATGAGTCTTCATCCTTCTTTGTTTCTAAACGGCTATCAATACTTTCTGGAATATGAGAGATTTTTTGAGGAGGAGCAAAAATACCATGCTTTTCTTTGCAATCAAAATACTTTATACCATCGTAAGTTCCATTATTGTTTCCTTCTGGTTTATCCAACTCCACACCAGCCCAAAACCCTTTGGCAAACTCGGTCGGACCTTTGAAACGCAGTGTTCCAGGTTGAACTTTGCTCACAAGTACCCTGTCTCCAATATTGAAATTTAGCAAACTATCTGTTTCTTCTAGAATTGAAGCAGAGGCCCATGGTGGTGATTCAATAGTGGCCTGTTTGGCCTGTTCTTTCTCCACATCTCCGTGTTCATCATTTTTTAGAAATTCTGTGGGTGACTTGAGTTCCAATAATCTCTCTGAACGCATGCTGCCAGAGAGGGAGAGAGATCTGTCACTGAGACACTCACTGATTTCACCATCACTGCCCAGACTGGTGGACCTGCTTCTGTCAGTTTGTGCATGCTGTGACTGCTCTCTCAGGGACTGAGAGTCCCCTTTTGGGGAGAGAAGAGAAGCTTCAGAGTCATCTTTGTCATTTTTCAAAAGTGTGTCTTCAACTGATGCTTCTTTTATGGACAAGGATACCTCGAAGTCTTCAAGGTATGATTGCTCTTTTTGAGTAAAGCCTTGTTCTGAAAGCAAATAATCTTTTTCCTCAGCAGCTTTGCTAAGTTTGTGAGAAGATTCTTCTACACTTTGTCCAATTTTGGTATCTTTGTCTGACAGTTTCTGGTCTAAGATTTCTTCTGCACCATGAAGGCTTTCCTCAGTCAAGCCAGAAAGTTCCTTCTGAAACTGCTCATCTTCAGAAAAGAGGACTTTCTTTGGAAGGATGTTTGGTGAGCTCTCCTGCTCTTTATCTAACATCAGCAAGACATCAGAATTCTCCAAAGGCTTATCATGAAACTCTTCAGGCTCATATTCTTCTGATTTTATGTTCTCTATGTCTTCCTGTATCTCAGATTTATGACTGAAGACAGTCTCATCACTAGATGTATTTACCGTATTGTTCACAGACCCATGGGATATCTTGTTAATATCTTTTATATCTTTGAGAAGAGGCGATGAGGATACATTATCTAAGGAATCACCGGATTCTGCTCTGGACCTCCTCGTTGACTTCAAAATCAAGGATGGTGTTTGAGAAGGTTCTTCTGCATGAACATCTGCGATCACCTTGGAGTGCACAGACACAGATCTCTCGGTTCTTGATGACACAGTATCTTGAAGAAAAAGAAAAAGTGAAACATAGCAGACTGCAGAGCCTGCATTGTCTTATGGAAAACTGCAATCGCAATCAAACAAAAACAGGCATTAAGGTTTCTATTCTACAGGATAGGAACCAGTGACCTGGAAACACATATTTCTAGGTTGTCCAATGTATATGGGCAACATTATTTCATTTCCAGGGCTCTAGGACTTTCTTTCCTTGCACTGGTATTTCATATCATACAATACAATCCCAAGGTAAGGGCTCAGCTATTTATCTGGAAGTCATATAAAAACAAGCAAGATTAAAATGGTAGATAATGTTTAGATAATGATTAGCAGCAAACTATTTAAAAGTATCTGAAAAATATCTACTATTAAATACTTATCCTTAAGGTACTCATTATTTTTGGCTTCCTTAAGTAGAATTTTCTCAAATGATAAAGGTACAGTAAGCAAAGAAAGGGAAAAAAAGCTGTCAAGTGATTATGGTTTCACATAAAACTCGGCAAGAACAATACTAAACAGTGAACATTCAGGAAATAGCAAAAGAAGCCTACTAAACAGAGACAATAAAGCATGGACAAAAAGCCAATTACCTATGGTAGTTTTAGTTTTAACTATACTATAGATACAGCATCTTCAATCAACAATGTTTTAGATTTTTCTCACTACAGAATCCCTTTAAAACAAGGGAGCCAAGTACTGTTAGTTTTTTTTTTTTTTTTTTTTTTTTTTAAAGGGAAGGGGGTGTAAGAAATGCCATCATTTAAGAAACCCCACCCCTGAAATATTGGAAGTGTAAATATGGAAGAGTAAAAAAAAATATGCCTTGTGCACTCTGATTTACGAAATCTGAATGTTCCTTTAAAATTTAAAGATTAAAACAGCCACCTGAGATGTGTAGCACTGATTCTTCCAGTTACATACCTCCATGCTCCGCAATGGATTCTAGAGATGCTCTGGATCTCTCTGTTTCTGTCAGTGATTTCCAATTCTTTGCTGTCTCAGGCCTAAAGGGGAAAAGTTGAAAAATTACTTCCAGTGAACCATGGTTGCAACAGATCTATTTATTTTAAGATAAGAATGGAAATACGAACACCTATGATTATTTTCTTAGTATGTTGTACTGTATTATAATTGGGTGGCGTTATAAAGTGAATCTCAAAAATAGGAATGGAGTAGAGAGAAGGTTTGCCAAGTCCTGGAACAGGCCACTTTCTAAATGTTAATCACAAACTTTTGCCTTTCTGCAGTCAAAAAGAAAATAAACAAAACAGTAATTTTTATTTTTACCTAAGTGCACTAAAATTGCACCATCTGCTGGAAGAAATGAAACACCTGGAAACCATTATAAACTGCAGGAATTTGTTGAATTATCTACCCCTCAAAATGTAAGATCTAAACTAGATTTAGCCTGTGAATGTGAATAGTTTGCTTCACACAGTGCATCAGGCGAGATGGGTGACCAAAATGGAAGAAATTCCTTCATGTCAGGAGCTCACAGCACTATTTAGCACATATTTACACAACAAAAAATTACTTTTCAATAGCAATTTGAGAACAGGACTTGAAAGACAGGGCAAGACAAAAGTGAGATGCATATGATCATAGTGGTGCCCTAATCTGTTTTTGGTCTGATGAGACCAGAAAATGTGATACCAGCAGATAGGACACAGATACCATCCAGTGATTTGAAAAGAAACCTTTCCTTGCAGTACAGGTTTCTGCTAAAATAGCATTCTTTGGCATTTAAAAATAACTTCAGTAAAAAGAAGAAGAAATCCTGGCTACCTGTGGAGTGGTGGTGCCTTGATCTTAGGTTTTTCAACAGCTGAAGACAGAGTTTTAATCTGAGGTTTGGCTGTGGGTGATGTCTCCAGATCTTGGCTCAACTCTGCTTCTGTCTTCTTGATGAACTCATCATATGTCTAAGCACGAAAAACAAGTATGGCTGTTAATCTTTTAAGATGTAACTACTGTTCAGCAAACAAAGCGTATGAAATGAATACAGCACAGCCTCAACTACTTGAAGGGCACTATTTTTATGTAAAGCAACATGCATTTTATCTTCCTAAAGCTCCACAGTTGTAACTTGTTCTTCAAAGTAAAACACTAAAACTTTCAAATCCACATTAGTATTACTCTTTAATCCCCGATAGCTTACTAATGTGTAAAAATACGCACAAACTGCCTGAACATTGTTAGCGTCCCATTAAGGCTAAATATTATAAAGGAAATAATGTTTTTGCCTTGGGGACTTGGTTCACTACTGAATGTGGTTAAATGAGCAGAATACATCACACTCCTACACAGGAGTGTAGATGCTGCATGATCTCCTGTCAGAATAATACAGTATACCATAGTATAATGATTTATCCAAGCTAGCAATCTGATTTTTACTTTGCCCTCCTTTCCCCTGTTCCTAACCTCTAGCTGCTTGATCAAACTGGCCTCCTGGGCTTTCAGTCTCTCCTTTTGTCTTTTCTTCTGTTCCTTTTTCAGTTGATAAACGACAGATTTCCTTTTTCGAAGTTCATCCTTCAGGGCCATGATCCGGCCTTCAATGTCACTCTGGTCAGATGTGGTTTCTGAAAAAGCTTTGTGTTAGCCTTTAAATAACTTACACAATGCAGATTACTCTTACTTAAAGCACTGAATAGTCACTTAGTAAATAAATGACTTAGTAAATGCAAAGCACTGTCCAGATGAAGTATCAAAGAATTTAATTTCAGCAAATTAAACTCAACATATTAAGGCTTCTAAAGTAAAATCCCAAATTCATGACACTACTCATTATTCATTCTTCATTCTTCCCTACCCACCTAGTTACATCCACAGGCTTTTCAATTAAACTTGTACCAACATAGAACAAAGTAAGATTCTAGTCCCACGTTGGTGTTGACACAAATAAATACACAAAATTCTTAAAAATATTTATTTGACAGAGTCTTACTGACTAAAACTGGAAGAGCACATCAGGAAAAGGATCTCTCTATACTAAACCACTTTTAATATTTTTTTCCTCCTCATTTATTGAAAGCCAACCTGAATACTAGGTTAAAAAAAATGGAATATGAGACCATACAGTAGTTTTTTTATTTTTATCACTCAACATCAAATCTTAGGCCCTTTTTAATGTACACAACTCTAACTCTCTTTCAAAAATAAAGAGGGATTCTCTTCCTTAGGGGCTTCAGTATGACACAGATCACCTACAGCTAGTCATGCACACGCATTACTGAATTTCTTTTCCCATGTGCCTAGGAGAAAACCTTTTGGTGACAATACCAACGGAGATTTAGGACACAAGGAAGTAAGAAACGCTCAGCAGTTTTGCAAGACCCAGCCTGACACACCTAGAACTTACTTTTTTCTCATGATCCACCGTCTTGCAAGCAGACTGTTTGTGGACACAAAGCTTCTGCATACGTACTGAAGGGTCCATTAGCTTAGCACACACCAGCACATGTCCAAATGGCTCACTTGTATAGTTGTGATAAAAGAACTATACTGCTTCTTGAGCCAGGTTTTGTTCAGAGGAGGACGATCACATTTGCATGCTGCTGAACCATCTTCTTGTTTCTTAAAATGAGTGGGATGGCGCTAACCTGGCATACTTTAATTCTAAAAACATCCTGCCTCTCAACTCTTACCGTCTTCATACCTGTTTGCAGGAAACTAGAAACTAAATGTTTTTTGTTTGTTTTTTTTTAAAACAACAACACCCAAGCAGATATTAAACTTACCCGACTGTGTCATCGATAAAGATTCATCAGACCAGCTGTTAGATATCTGATGAGACTTCACAACTGAACGTAGCTGCCCTCCAACTCTGTGGCTGCTTTTGCTGGAATCTTGCTTTGATACAGATACACTGCTTTTAGGAGGAGACTATTTGAGAATAAAAAGGACAAATAAGCTCTTGTAAACTACTTGTAAAGCTCAGTTTGAAAGCAGAGGGGGTTTCATCATGAGCTAATTACAGGGAAAGGACATAGCTTGACTAGAGAACTTCTCTTAAGTAACAGTACCTTGCTAAATATCTTAAGAACTTATCTTAGTTTCGTAGACAACAAAATAAAAAAAAACACCATCACGGTCAAACACCCAGAAGAGCAGGAGCTAATTGCTTGTTTTGAGTCTTGATTTCAGTAAACCTTAAACTAGTCTATTACCACCTAACTGAACTGAAATGTTTCTGACTCACAGGTATTCGAAATACTTGACGTAATAATGTTCGGTAAAAAGTAAGACAATAAAATCTCCTTTTAAATACATCTGTGAAAGTAAAAGGACTTCTCTATAGAAGAGGTGCATGATGCCATTTTAAATAACTACAGAAATACTGCCCTATTCTTTGTAGCTAGGCCAACAAAAAAAAGAGTAAATGTTATTTCACTAAGCTAAAATGTTGCTTAGTGGATCAAGACTATAACATAAGGCTTTCACACTCCTTGAACACAGCTTCTAGAAGGAATGTACGTAATGGAATGTACATAGCACATCTAGCCCACAGCTGATTCACACCGGTAAGCTGGCTCAGTGTTCCACCACTTAATACCACATGGCTACGTGACACACGTGAAATATTTTGCAAGACTGCCCATACAAGACATATTGCAAGACATACCTAAACTCTATGCTGAAACAATTTTTCCTCAAGACGTAAAGAATATATCTCACCACAATTTTTATGTATAATATTGTAAAATATCATTGCAAAACACAGGGAAGAATTTAATCTCTGCTTAGACAATCGGAATGGCTACATTCCTTATGTTCTATGATAGCTATTACTATTTACAAGGCTAAGAATATATACAGCATAAAAAACTCACAAGTTTGCTAGGTGAGGTAGAGGACTTGATGTCTTCAGGATAAGCCATTTCTTCTGTAATTGTATGATGATTTGGGCTCTCTGACTGCCCATGGCCCATAGTTTCTGATGGGACAGACTCAGGAGCTGGACTGCCAAGATCTTCTGGGACAGAGCTTTCACTGTTGAGGTGAGAGCAAGAAGGCACTGGAGACTCCTCTTCACTGGCTGTTTCTGAGATAGGTTAATGAGAAGGAAAAAGCAGAGCACATAAAGAGTTTGCACTGACATACATGCAGCTAATAGTATTGGGATTTCAAGGAAACTGTTGGCTGCATATAAAGTAATAACTGTTTATAGCACATATCAAATTGATAAGAATTTTTTCAGTTGCCTAGACACCTATAGGTGAATATTCAGAAAGAACAGGCATGTTTACCAGATAACTATCATACATAGTGATTTCTGGATGTTTAAAATAAAGAGCTTTTCAGGAGATTCTAAAATTTTCCACACAACAGGTTCCAAAAACATAGTGAGGGAAACCTGTTCTTCCAGCTGACCATACAGCAGAAAGAGTCACTATTATTATGAAGAAGTTACAGTGCAGCATATAATCTGCAGACACGATTTTGAATTTAGAAGTGATTGCTTCCTTTATGGTAGTTGCAGAAAACATTTTCATGTTATGATTTCATCATGAGTCTGTCAAACTGGCAACAAGCAAAATAATAACCTGGGTTTTCCATACTCCTGTTTACTAAATTCCACAGGACATGGAACATCATTGAAGCAGCCATAGAGAACAAGTCAATATTCAAGCAAAGACGGAGTGAGGAGTTTTTTCTCCCCAACTAGGGTTGTGCTCCAATGCTTACTGGCGGATACAGTTAACAGAGGCACAGATGAGAGAATACACTTCCTTTCTGTCATCAGTATGATGATTTTTTAATTCACTGGAACTTAGTAACTCACAGAACATCTATAAAATGTCCTACAGATTCCTAAAATCCACAGGGCAGTTTTCAATAACAAGTATAATGGGACATCATTGTGAATTCTCCTTGCACAGTCGAATAATACACTGCTGGTTTTCAACAGAGTGGGAAAAAAAAACATGGTTTCTGGGACAACTCCTGAAGTTTCAACACATTCTTCCTCTACACTTCTGTTCTCTGCAGCTGATCCTGAAAGTGCAGTCCACTTAAGAGTGGTAAAGCTGCAGCTCCCAAAATCTAGGAACTTACCTTTCTCAGAGAAGCATCACATATACAAACTACACACCTGCACACGTCAGTACATCTGAACTTCAGCTATTTCATTAACAGAGGCAGAGAGAAGTTCAGAGCAAAGGCAAGGAATTAAAAACAACTTTAAACTTTCAGAAATGCAAACAACAAAGGGAAAGCAGCCTCTGATGGTAACAGAAATAAGGCTACCAGGAGAGGGACACAACTGCAGTACTGCAGTAGAAGAGGGTTTTAAGGGGTAAGTTGAAATTAACAAATTATTTTTTGTTGTTGTTTTGTTTTAAAAAGATAAATATATACTTCAATTTGTATGTAGAAACACCTAGTGGGTCTATGCTGCACTACACACCTCAGAGGATAGACAGTAAAGGAGGAACACAAATATAACTAAGCTTTTAAGTTAAAAGAACTAGGCAGAAGAGAGTAAAGAGCAGAGTGCAAAAATCAAAGATTCTAAGAGCATCCAGAAAGAACAAGCACCATAAAAACACACAGAGAAATAAGGGAAAGAAGTGTGAAACCAGGCAATAGTTGATGCCAGGTTATGTTTTGCTCCTTTCGTTTGCATTTGTTCCCCCTGCTTGCTCTTTCTAGTACTTATTAGCATGTATCCTACTTCAAATATATCCTTGCTATTTTTTTTATTTTTTTTATTTTTTTTTATTTTTTTTTATTTTTTACCTTTGGGCTCTGTTCTCTGATCCCCCAGTTCTTTCTTGGCTGTTTTGGGCTTGAGCTCTTTGTCCCAGGCAGCCAGAGCCTGTTTTTCCATGCGCCGTATTTCTGCCTCCTCTGCATCCAGGCGGCGTTTCCACTCCAGCAGCTCCTCCGCATGTTGTCGACGCTGCATCAGCTTCTGCTCTCGCTTAGTTAGGAACCTGAGACACAGAGCACGAAGCGATGGAAATGTAGTCAACCACAGCCAAAATCCCAAGAGCCAGATACTCTCTTGCCATAATTCCCAGAATTTTAGCTGTTCAAATTGTTTTCCAGGATAACATCCATACTAACCAACATCTCCTAAAATTCTGATGTGCTGATAAAAAGTCTACATATAAAAACCTACACATAAAGCAGACATAAGATTCTTCGCAGTAAATAAAATCTACAGCATGTTACAAGAGCAGATAAAACAAACACTACTGTCTCCTAAAATTTCTCTATGACTTTTTCTTCTTAAAAGAAAAAGAAATTAATGAAGTGCTAGAATGCCACAAGGCCATTCACTTCATAGTTTTAATTCTCTTGCCCTTTTCAGAAATTTTTTTTGCACCAGGTCTCTGAAGATACACTTAAGTTTGGTCCATTAAAGAAAAATCAAGTTTTACAATCTGTTTTTCACTCTCCATTTTAAACAATATAAGCACACTGTTTATGTGCAAAGGATCCAAAACTTAACATTGTTAAAAGTGCTATGCATTATTAACTAAAATGAGCAGTGGGAGTTCCCAGTTTGAGGACATGAAAAAAGTACCTGTGGCATTAAACTGGAACCCTCAAGAAAGCAGTGACTATTTGAAAATTAAAGCTTTTTATGTAGTTTATTCCAAAGACAGAGAAAAGACTGTAGCCCTAACTACACCCCACAGTTCTTTCCAAATATGTGAGAAAAGGTGATTCTGTACTGAGAGTCCTCCTGAATTACTGGAGTTTTTAATCTTTCTTCCTCTAAGGACAATCCAGATGGATCTTCCCCCCTGGCACGTTGTCAGCATCAAGAGAATAAAGAGGTTGGGTTGTTTTTTCCAGCTACTAGCACATATGGATGCTAGTTTAAGACTGGCAGTAGATTAAAAGGAAAGCTCATGCTTAAAGCTAGCAGTTTTTTCCCTTTGGGATAAAGATTTCTCAAGTGATCCATGAAACCTCCAAAATGTCAAAATTCACGAAGAACTTTGCAAATACAATAGTTTGTGCTTAGATACCTGTTGTCTTTGCCCTCTTTTTTTTTTCTCTGAGTAACAACAACTCTGGTGTTATTTCTAAATATTAAGCTTAGAAGATGGCATTTAACTTTAAGACAATAATTGGAAGTAAGCTCAGTATTAATCACACAAACTTCCTTTAACATACCAGGTCTATAGTGTAAATCAATCCATTACATTTCCTTAATATAAATTCTGAACATGCCAGAAAATAAAAGTGATTTTTTTCTGATAAAAGCCAGTGAGAGAGAGAAAGAGATCCTGATTAGTACAGAAGCAGTGGTGCCTAACAAAACAATCTTTGGAGATCTGCAGTACTTGGCTTTGCAAATGCCTTTGTAATTTGGAATTTTCAAGTCAACCCTGCATCTACATTTTTAGTCTCAAAGCAGTTTTAAACTTCATATGTGCTTTTTAAACCTCCCATGGTTCAGATGACCCTTTTGTGCACACAGACTGGAACGATCATTTGACTAATCCACAGGTCTCACCTGCTGGGGGATCGTGTTCTTGTTTGCTCACCTACTGTCCTCTCTATTCCCTGGAGAAGTGATCTGGCAGTTTAACAGAAAGGTAAAGATTCAGATGTGTGCTTCCTTAAGACACATACAAATAAGGATATGAAAATAAAAGTTTAAGCAGCTAGTAAGACATCAGGAATGTGGCCACCATTCCCTTTCCTATGGTCAAGACAAGGATGGATGAAAAGTAGAACCATCTTGTAGACTTTCTGGAATACCTGTCACCTTTCAGGTGGCAATGAGTTCCATGATTTTGCAGGTGACATTACTGCTTTATAGAGAGACAACACTGTCTACTCTAAGGCAAAAATCAGCAGATCAAACATCAGAGACTAGATTAACAACAACACACAGTCACACTTGTGTGTGTTTTGTCTTTCCCCAGTACTAACAGATTCTTCAATTCTTGTGTTCAGTTGCACAACTCCAGCGAGTCAAGCAGCTCATATATTTGGAATCTGTTATGGATGCCAATGCTACAATAATGACCTCAATGCACAAGGCAACTTTTTCTTCTTCTTCTGTCACCAGCTGTTGATTTCACCAGAACATCTGGATCTTCACAGTTGACAATATCTTGAGGAAGAGAGTCTAGTTGTAATAAAATTCAAGAGAAAGACTAAAATAATTGGATTCAAAGGAATACAGCTTCTCAACACAATGTCAAACGAATTAGACCAGAAGACCACAATATGAAGGAGAATTAACTAAATGAGCACATAACTAAATACTATGCAAAGACTAACTAATAAGGAAATCAGCAGTTTGTTAAAAGAAGCATTAATAGAAAGAAAGAGGTTCAAAAGTTTGATCTATAAAAAAGGGATTAAAGCAACATGGCTCAAGATGCAGATCCTTTTATAAGGATCGACGAGGTAGTATTTACTACACACCGGAGGGTTCCAGTTGAACACCAAGGGTACACATTCATCCTCAACCACAGGGCAGTTCCAAAGGGAATATTCAAAACCACATCTAGCAGGATGCAAGGCAGGAAAGCCGGGGAGCGAGGAGGAATCAGCAGCACTCAGATTATACCATCCTGATTTACAAACCTGAACTATTTCTCTGGTGCTAATGTCACGTGTTCTATCCACTCCATTCCAAAAGGTTAGGAAAAGAGACTGCAGACCAAGATGGCCAAATTGCAGAGCTACAAATATTAACCTGGTGCTCTGGACCTTATTTATACTGCACATACACTCAAGGTACACTGGCTTTAAGCCCAAACTAGACAGTTCCAGTGACTATTCTGAGGCAGCCATGAAACAGTGGGAACGATGTGAACTGAACTGTCATTCCCAGTGCAGCAGTGATAATAAGAAAATAATCTGGAAACAGTGAATAAAGTTGGTCAAAAATGTTTGCTGATGAGAAACCTCTTGACTTTTTTTTTTTTTTTTTTTTTTAAGGACTGAAAGGAGCATGCTCTATCAAAGAGTCCATCACTTGAGAAAGGTACAGTTACCTGACCAATTGGTTGTAGATATACAGCTGGAATTTGGGGTGGAGGTTGGGAAAACAGACACTGAGAGAGGCCCAGTGGTGAGACGTAAAGACAGAGAAGAAGTAGTGAACAGGAGAGCAGTGTCTACAAAATAAGGAGGAAGAGTTTAAAACCAAGATAGCAAAAAAGACAGAAAGAACGAGAAAAGGATAGCATCTAGCAAAGAACTTTAAAATTAATTGCGTTTGACATTGTATACTTATTACCTAATATCTGATGCAGAAAAACTATATATTATTAGGCAGAAGGCAACAGAACATACACACTTATGCATAGTCTATTCAACTTTCATTTTCCTGTTAATTAGAGGCATGCCGCTTTCAAACTGTTATAAATTGGAAGGAGCTGGATTACTCTGATGCAAACTTCCACATACACTTGTTAAGAGATCTCAACCTGACCATTTCACAGTCCTTGCTATTCCAGCCCTCAACAGAGAATATTATTAGCACTAAAAAGCATGCTGGTTTTGGGATATGAACAGCTTTGTTAGTCTGAAATCCTAGACATGTTTTCATTCACCAGGCCAAACCTGAATCAAACATTTCCCCAAAGGGAAGCCCCAGCAAAAGGGCAACAAATAAATAAATAAATAGCTTCTAAAGAATGAGAAATTCCAGGGAAAGTCCAAGATATAAGCAGATTTCTGGCAGCTGTTTCTTTCTGGGGCTAAATGCTAAGTCTGTCTTGGAATTGGCCTACATTGTCTCTCTTGTTTGAGGTATGAACTGCAGAAAGGTAACATCTGTTTAAAAAAAAAAATCTACAAAAACTTATGACAGCTTAAACTGGTATTTGCTCATGAATCACAGACTCAATGAATGACTGCTTTAAGCTTATTCCTAACAAATGACCATATTTAAAGAAAGATAACATGCTTCATAAAGCTCTGCATCATGAAGCATAAAGAAAAGCAAAAGAAATCAAGCAGCTAATCAGTTTTCCTATTGCACAGATTATCATTATGCTGCATATTCATGAGAAACAAGGGAAAAGGGATTAATTCTCTTTGACAGAGCATGCTACTGTTCACATGCAGGCTACAAAGATTCACAGATTAAAAAACTTTCACTCCCCTTTTAGCAGAAGAAAAATACTGGAGCTGTCTCATAAGGAAGGACGTGAAAGGATTTTCCCTTTGCTATAGGGCACAGGAGATCCAACACAGCAAGGCTTGCTTTCTTCTAACATACTAATACTTTGTCAGTCAGGTTCTTTCCTTATGCAATATAAGCACAGGCAGCTTCCTATTCTTACATCCCAAATCAACAACATATTACTCTATTTCACTATTCTTGTGCCTTACAAATAAGTACATAAGAAGACACCAAGTTGGCACTCTTTAAAAACAAAACAACTTCCCCCTGCCCCAAAAAACTCCTACTACTACCAAAAAAAAATCTGCAAAAATGTGTGCAAAAGCATTGCAATCAGAAAGATCAAGTTCCAGAGAATCAAGTTCCAGGATTCTAGGAAGGTAAGCAAGTATGGAGGTAAATAAAATAACTATAAGGATAAAGAACACTTTCTATCTGCTACTATCCCTTGTAATAGGGAGGACAATTATGTACTAATATGTTAGTCTTTCTGGAAACACACCTGCTGCATAGGAATGAAGAAACAAGGGAAAAGTATTTCAAAACCAATATTGACAAAAACGCTACTGATAAAAAGTGCCAAAGAGTCTTGAATATAAGAGTATTCTGGTTATCTCTTAATTCCTATAAAGCTACTGCTTAAATTAATATGCTTATCTAAAAATTCATAAGATTCAACTTAGTTTGGTATCACTATCTATCATCATTTGTATGCTCTACATTATTTTATATTTTAAAGCTCTGATGTAAGAATCATTAAAAAAGAAACAGTAATTTAAAAAATTGGGGAGGAGGCAGGATTTTGGAAGCCGAGAGCAGATTCTAATTT